ATCCCTGGTCTGTTAAGATAAAATGATTGCAAAAGATTTCACGACAAGAATGTCAAAGTGATTAAATAACGACAAGCGAACGATTTTCCCTTTTTGAGAGAAATCTTTTTATTCGAAATAATACTGAGAGAGGTAAAACGGATAGAAATTGGAGGGATCTAAAAATACGATTACGAGAGGTGCACTGAGTGCTTAGAACACAGAACGAAAGAGAAAGTAAAGGACTTTGTTAAGTGTCCGAGTTCTGATCTTGACGCGTCCATGCTCATATACATATATATACACACACCCACACACACACACACACATACACACGCGCGCGCGCTCACGTGCGCATACACACATATACATACGCGCGATGTTACTATTACGTTATTTAAATTAACACGTTAACGCTAGTATGATAATCTTTTGTTTATTTAGTTTTTAAGCGTAATAGTTATTATACTATTAGTTCTTCATCCTTTGTGTATGCGTGTACATATGTATGTATATATACACATACATATATATATATATATATATAGATATGTATGTACATATATATGCGCAAATCTCAATAAAAAGGTAATAAAGAAAAGAAAAAAGCCATCAAAGTGTGCAGCCTCCCATTTCATTACCACTGCCATTGCGATTTACATAATGTACATGATGATAATTATATAATGACAAATAAACAATGTATAATATATACGATCTTGTTATTGTTTCTATGCGCACGTTCTTGTTCTTGATTGCAGAAGGAGGAAAGAAGGAAATTGAATAGACTGCGGTTGTTGCTTTTGCAGTTTATTTGCAATTTGTTCATATAATTGGTAACTGATTTCGGATATAACTAATACTAGAAACCTAAACAACGTATGAAACTTTATACATGTCTAATTATCTTAATAGTGCTAAGGCGACTATTTACAAGTAAACGCATTGAGCCGTTTTTCGCGATGTGTAGCACAGGTGTCGGGAAAGTTATACACATGGATTCCGTTACCTATATGCATATCGTACACATTTTTCAGAAATGTGGCCCAGGCGTCCGAAGGAGGTTTGGATCTGTCTGTGCGTTTGCGTTCAGACTTTGCCACGGAATTGTCTCTACCCACATAGTGTTTCCTCTGCTTTTTCCAACTTTCTTTTGTTAATCGTACTTTCTTTTTCTCAAATGTTAAAAATATCACAAATTACCAAAAATAACATTGTTGATAATGATGACTGGATTGTATGGCAAAATTTATTTCAGCAGCGAATAGTATCATACATGTCTTCAAAAAACAATCTCTTAGGAGAAAAACTTGATACGCGTCAGATGTTTCTCGTGATAAAAGTAAAAATTTGCATACGTGCGAAAAAAGACTCTTCAAACTTGGAGATGCTTACGAGTCGATGGCAGAAGTGACATGTATATGGGAGACAAATCATTCCGAAACATTATCCAATTCCTTTTAGCACTTTTGTGAGGGATAAATAAATTAGACAAAAAAAAAAAGAGGATTGCATGCTTGCTGATAGACCAACGAAATGTGGCTGCGACGTACGCTGATTATCGATAACGAGCACTGATATCGATAATCGTAATAAATCAGCAAGTTTTTCTTCGTGCGCTACTTTAAAGAATAATACAATCGTTGCAACTTGTGTCATTGCGACAGGACATTGTGGAAAAATATTGCAAAGTACCGCGTTCATCAATTTCATGTCGTTTCGTGACATTAGACAATTTTGTAACACAAACATGCGAATAAAAAAAGATTAACATTATGCGGCACGGCCAGAGAAATTTTTCAAACATTGAAACGCGGTAATTTCTATAAGATAAAAATTATTGTCGATGAAAATTATTGTGAAAAGACGGATTAACAAATATATCAGATATCAAGACATTGCACAGATTGCACTATACAAAATCCGTTGAAAACTCCTGAAAAATGAGTAAAGATTTTTGGCCGCAATCTTCAAACAATTGTACGGTATGTATTATACATATAATCGGAACGTTAACGTCATCCGATGCGTCTACATTTTCAAAGAAACTGTATACTGTTTAATTTTTTCCGTTTTTTTTTTTGCGTAATAAAGTAGTTGAGTTATATTATCAACAATACCCGGTAAATAAGATGTTTCTTGAATGTTAAAGCGCATTGGATGGCATTAATGCTCTGTATGTACACTGTGTGTACAACGTTTACAAATAATATAGGCATTTCCTTAACATAAAACTAAACGTTCAATTTAGACTTAAAAAAGTTTCTTAACGCCAAAAAAAATTAATCATTGAATTCAAAATGCTTCATTTAGCATGTCGATAAAATAATAAAATATTTTTGCGCGTTTATACACAATTTTTTCTAGTAAAATCGATAGTCTCTTTTCGATCAACTTTCGCGTTGATCGCCGCATTGATTCTCCTTCGTCAGACATTATCGCACTAAATGCATTGTTCTGAGGAAAGGAGAAAAACTTGGCGATAAATAACGATCGAATGTATGACTATCGAAAGACAAATTTATGACGCGCTCGTTACAATATGCTAAAAAAAAATTCTCCAAGGATATAAATTTGCATTATCATTTGCGAAAAGTAGGAAATTGGAATTTTCCTCTCCCATCTGAATTTTGTCATATCTGATTCTATAATAAGATTAGTGGAAACCAAATTTTGTGATTTTTCTGTCTCCAACTTTCCAATAATATATGTATGTATATAGAATGATTTGTAGAAAAGAAAAGAGAGAGAGAGAGAGAGAGGAAAGCACCAGTAAGAAAGTACAGCTATTGCTTGCTAAGGCGTCTACTCCTCGAACATAAAGAAATATCATTAAAAATAATGTAATAACGTACAACAGCTAAGGCTCGTTGTGGCGTTACGCGATAGCGTGTCTTTCGTCGCGCTTACAAGACGGCTTACGGAGGACTGTGCTCCGGAATGAATTGCACCGCATTAGAACCACCGTTGAAAAACAGTCATTCGCATCCGGGAGTGCCGAAATTTATATTGATAACAATATTAAATTTCAGATTTTTCCACAGAGAAAACCGCATTGCAAAGATTGCAGGTTTTCTATATGGTTAATCAAAGAGAATTCGCTGTAGAGCAATGCTCTCGAACGCAACGCAGAGAAGAAATCGCGCAGAAAGCGCACTTAACACCATTTGATATACATGGAAGATATACGTTCGCGGCGATTTTCATATCTCATCTTTGAATAAAACAGCGGTCAAAGACATTCGCGGTAACATACATTTGCGCTCAGCAAGAAATATGACATTTTAACTTTTAACGTTACTTTCAATGTCCGGAAACGTTTTCCAAGTTTCATATCTTACAGGCGTTAAGTTGCTTTCCATGCGCGTTCATAATTCTGTCTCGGTGTGCTATCTCTCTCGATATATAATTCAGCCTATATCCTTAACGTGTTATTAAAAATCTATCTGTGTATATACAAACAATGTGTGCACACGTGCGCGCTTTGTGTGTGCTATGCCGAAGATTGCGTCGGTACCGAGAGAGTTTATGTCGGTGGAGAACAGCATGCAAGCATACATCTCCATGACGCTTCGGCACTGCGCGAGGTGCTTCAACGTATTTCAGGCAATTCAGGCCGTGGGCAAGGTTGGGCCGAACGACGCGAAGGACAAGGAATCGTCAAGGACATTAGCAGCTTGCTCATAATTACGCGTACAAGATTATTAGCAGTGTCGGCATATAAATTTCGAAAGTTCAAATTAGAACTATATATTTGCAATTAGATTTGTAACGATTTTAATCAGGATTGGTAAAAAATGTTTTAAATGTGTTTTAAACAGTTTAAAAGTCGGTTGCATCAACGTTACTTTGACTTTAAGCGAAACTTAAAACTCTCTCTGTCTTGTTTTAAAACGAAAAAGAGACAGAGACAGAGAGTTTTAAGCTTCACTTAAAATCAAAGTAATATTGGTGCAATTGAGTCTAAAACATGCTTAATTCATATTTTTAATATATTTAAATATATTTACTTTAAATATATTTTTTTATAATATTGTTTAAAGCATATTTTTGAAGCATTAAAAATATATTTAAAAACACAAAAAATATATAAGAAAAAACACAATATGTTTTATTCTTAAAAAAAAACATCTTTACCAATCCTGCGATTTATTAAAAAAAGTTATTTTTTTTACAAACAAATTTAATATACAAAATAAAAGAAAAAGTGGGGAGAAGGAGAAAAAGATAGATAGAAAAGAATATTATTCCATGAAAAAGAAAACTATTGTTATAAACAAAGGCATCTTCTTATATTACAAAGGAAAAGTATTAAAAACTATTATATATATTTTGAGTTGGTTGAAATACGTCGTGTCTCAGTGCCATCAGCCAACTAAACTTAACTTTAAATATTGAACTGATATTATTGCATATAAATAGATTAAGTGGCATTTAAAGAACGAAGTCTTGTTTGCCAACATAAAATCGCACTGATCGATCCAAAGATCGATTCTTAATTTTGCAATATCATCATATTAAAACGACAAATGAAAAAAAATTTATTCATGATTCTATGTATATGAGTCGTTGAATTAATAAAACACGTTCTCACTAAAATGATTGCTAAATAAAATGGCCAATTAAAGAGCGGTGTACATTCACTATGTTATTAGGTATCTCGTGTGGCTGCGCGTTCAACATTGAGTCAGTGCTGTAAGTAGATTATTACCAGCATGAGTCAGACTTGCAGGCAATATATGATATGACCGAAATACCGTGCATACATTATGGCGGTATCGTCTATCATACACATTACTTAATATCATCTATTTATTGATAACTAAATTTAATTTGAATTTTTTAAGTAGCAACAAATTCAGATTAAATAATAAAACTTTCAATTACAATTCCAATATTAGGTTGAAAATGTTAGTAACAATCAATTATATTTTCTAATCTTATTAACAGATGTTAATAAGATGTAATAACAGATTATTTTTGTTATATTCCATTTCGAAATTTAACTTTTTGTCATTTAATCAATGAAATTTAAATATTTCTAAATTTTTTTGCACGTTCTTTTAAAATTTCTGTTGCGAATGTAATGTCAATAGATGAATAGTGAAATACCACACGTTCAATATACAATTTAGCCCAATCTATTTGCCCACGGTAAAAAAATCCTTCAGAGTACTTAACGTATCGGCATGCGTTTGATCACGCGTTTTCCATCTACGAGCGCACGAGAGTAAGGCCAACGCGAGATTCACATGTGATTCCTCATCAAGCGATTCTGTGTGTCGTGAAGCTGACATCACCGTCGCTGTTGGCGTCCTGCAGCATCGTTGGCTCGAGATATAGTACCGTCGTCTAAGTTTCCAGACCTGGCACGAGACTGTGGAAGGTCTGTATGTCATGGAAGGCGCGGCCGCAACTCTGATTGTTGTTACGCTCAAACTTGGTAAGATCGAAATGTTCATCCAAAGACTGCAGCTCGGCCAGTCGTTCTTCTAGTGTCTTCGCCGAGTCGGCGAATCTAGAAAAGTCACAAAGCCGATCGGGATCGACTACGTCGGCCACCTCCATCATATCGGTTCCTGGTCTCGAAAGTTGTACGCTCGTGTCGTCGAGATCTCCGACGGGGAAAAGCACGGAATGGCAGTTTGACGCGTTGTCGACTCCAATGCCGTTAGTCGTTGTGGAGGTGCTACTTGTGCTGATGATCGTGCCGTTCGATCGCACGTCAGCCACGCCGCCGCTCAAGCGATCCTCCGGGAAGCCCAGATGGTGATTGCCGTTATGATGTGACACCACTGCTTCTGGCTGAATTTCATCGATATGCGAGAGCAAACGTGGCGTCGGTGGCAAGATGTAGAAGTCACTGAATACGTCGTCTTGCAAGTCCAAGTCATCGTGCCTATGCCGCTTGGAATTGAATTCGTCGTTTCTCGAATCGTCAGCCAACCTACGTTTCATCACAAATAATGTCGACATGAGGATTACTTTGCAAAAATTGCACTTATTCTATGATAAAAATTCGAAACAAAAAAACTATGCGAAGAATTCTTTAACAGAAAATTCACACATACAAAAGTATCGGTATGGATCTAACTTTAAGAGAATTATATAGACATGTTAAATCCATACTGGTATTTTTTAGAGTGCATGCAAAAGAGAGTCTCAAATTATAATTAAAATTCTATTAAAGTAAAATTTATGCGAAATTATTGTATTTGGCCAGTGTCATACCTTTTCCTAGAAGAAGTTTCTTCGTCCGTTACATCGGCGATGAGACTCCCGGCGATGTTATTTTCCTTACTAGCGTCGTCCATGTATGACGCCACTACTGGAAGTGTACCGTAACTCCGTGTCTTCTCGTCCCGATTTTCACGCTGCAGCCGTCGTACTGCGTTATTTATGAGAACCGATCGGCACAGGCTCGCTTCAGGGTCCTCGATCCTCCTCAGCTTGACAGCGGAAATCTTGAGTAGACGACGACGTTCCTCGCGGGCGCGATATTTGGCAGAGATCATCGTGGGTCGGCTCCTGCGGATCACCAGATCCTCTTCTAATCTCATTTTAGAATCTGCAAAATCAAAAAGTTATTTTTACTACTATCTTTGTAACTATATTATCCATTAAAGCTAGGTTCGAGGACTTGAGTGTTTTGTTATACACTTCCAAATACACATATTCTTACATATCGCGAAAGCGATATTTTCTCGCGACGACAAAATCAAATATAAAATACTGTGCGATGAAACGTTACTTTATGATAAGAGTACTATACTTTTTTTTATGTACGAAAGAAGTAGATGGAACTCGTGAACTTTTATCGCAACTAATATATTGTATATTTGTAAACAGATGTGTTTACAAATAGTAGACAAATGTCATTAAAAATTATCGGTTAAAAAACTATTGAAACTAGTTTTTAGTAATTCAACAGTCAGTCACTCGCATCAATATCTCTAAAAATATTCAGTGAATCATAATAATCTAAAAAGAATGTCTAAACAACATTGTCTAGATGACCTCTTTATAATGTCTTCGTGACATCTTTTAGGCATGTTGTCTGGGTGTTCAATGCCAATTTATTTTTCATTGAGTAACAATTTCAGCATGCAACAATTCATTTAGTGTATTTATTGTATTTCGCAAACTCATAAAGTATCTCCATAAAAAAGTATTCTATCGAACATATTATTCTTTATATGTTTTAATAGATCTTCACGATCGTTAATGTATCTCATTACTATTTATAACTTAACAGAAATTTTTACACGTAGCATCAAAACATTTTTATGTTTGTTACAAAGAGAGGGTGGAGAGGGGAGGGAGGGAGAGAGAGAGAGAGATTAACTCTAACGTCCCATAACGGTACATGGAGACGGTAAAACACGCAAGCGGCTTTAGAAGGCTGGTTAGCGGTACGTAAATACGCGTTTACGCACTTACGTGCATTGCGCTCGTTTACTACGCCAATGATGGACAAGAGGTCTCTTTTTCTTTTCCCCTATCGTCATCGTCGTCGTCTGCGACTGACCCAGTTACACGATGCTTCCGTCTTTCCATCGCTTCGTTGTCGGAAGGGGAGAAAATACGTGTACCGTTATCACAGCGTTTTATAATCATATCGTCGTCGTTGTCGTCAACGACAATGATGATGACGACAATGACATCGACTTATTTCGCGAATCATTGCGCGAATCGGTAAAATCGCGTCAACGGTTGCCTGCATCGTCGATTACTTTTATTATAGTGAAAATTTCATACGTTTGATTTCTTGAATCTTTAAGATTTCCCTGCTTTTTGTGCATCCAAATGTTTTCGAAAAAAGATTATTTACTCCATTCGCGTGCAAGAGCGTTAATTTTACGACGCTTAAGCCTTGACGTACATTTTCGTAACGTTGACGTTACCTTGGGCTTAAGGTAAAATATAGAATATTGAATATCAAATAACAAAGGCATGAAAGGTATCTTGATATCGTTGTATTAATCCTTACGATACCAGGCACAAAACAGTGCCTCATCATCCGAAATCCGCCGTCTATTTTTTTATCTACTTAAAATAATTCAAAAAATTTCTAAAAATTCACGAACATATTTTCACTTCTTAGAACAAATTTCATTTTGGAAAATAATAAAATATAGTATATGATTTATTCGTCGAACTTGCGAGAAATTTGTACAAACAAAAATCGAACAGACACAAAAAATACCTCTTGTTTCTCGATTTCATAAATTTTCAAAGAATATTTTCGTGGACAAATATGTGAAATCTCATTCATCTCATTTATTTCCCAGTGACTGTGAGATCATTTCCAGTTTTCGACGAGAATAAGTAATCGCGTTCGTTTGCGATCTTCGCTAATTCTCAATTTCTAACCGATTCGACACTTTCGCATGAAAATTGTTCCGCCGTTCCACTGAGATTAGCTGATAGTCACGATCATCTGTTTTCTTGTAGAAAGTCTTTCTTAATAGATCTTAATAGATCGCGTACACGCCACGCATCTCAAGAAAGCCGATTAGAACGAGCGTGTCAAGGCTCAGAGATCGATTTTCATTTCATACATCTATAAGACAAGTGCATTAGAAATTGTATCGTTAATTAACTTGCAACATTTCATTTAAAGCTTTTATGACTTACATCGGGTTTTCCGCTCTGTGTCATACATAAAATCTGGAGTAACTGTTTTCTAGGAATGACCGCGTTTGAGTCATTTCGCGCGCGTACCCGGAAATGATCGCCAAAAGCGAGGATTCGCTACGCTACTGAAAGATGTCGCTTCGAGTACTTCCCCGCGCTTACAAAGATGGCCATCGCGCCAAGCTGGTTGCGTCCAAGGAATTCAGTGACCGCCGCACTTGTTGCTAAACCGATCGTTCGTGTCGGAAACTTTTCGATTCTTCGACTCTACGAGAACGACGGCGTGCCAACGCGGCCACGAAAACAATTACGATCGTTTCTCGAAAGTAAAGCTTCAGCAAGCCTCTTCGAGCGATTTAACTATAATCATAAACGACTTTTACACGCGCGAGATTTATATTCTGTCCACTGGAGAGATCAAATAAAATATGAGAAATGCTTAAATTCTGAGACTATGCCAAAACAAAATAAAATTTATATATAAAGATTTATATATTTATGCGAGATTCTAAATGCAAGATAAAGTCAAATAAATAAATAGCGCGTTTCGATCATTCAGAAAATGAGGTGTCTTACCAAATCAAGTCTCGTATTTTGATGTTAGAGTTAATTTGACGAATATATAAAAAGATGCGATTGAAAGTCGAGGGTTATATCACAAAAATCCGAATATTGTTGTGCGATCTTAGGAAGAGAGATTTACTCATTCTTGCAGAATATGATGCGATAGTTAGAGAAAGTAGAGAGAAAAATTCATCTAGTTTTTGTATAACATCGTCGGAATAATTTCAAGTCACGAAGATTATACAACGATCGTCGAATATCGAGTAGTCCATAAAAAAGTGATCGGATTTTGTATAACGTATCTAATAAATATGAATGTGTCTGTGTAAATAAAATTAAAAATTAAATTATAATAAAAATATTTAACGAGAATATAACAAAAAAAATGAAGACTATAAATTTGTCTCATAAATCTTCGCGTCTTAATCTGAGTGAAAAAAGTGACTTGTGAGAAAGCATCAATTAATTCAAATTTTTTAATATCTCACATAGAATCAAAAAGAATTAGAACGGAATAACGACACGAAATTAGGAAAAATGTTTGATTAGATAAGTAGTCTTACGAGAAAGAGAGAGAGAGAGAGAGAGAGAGAGAGAGAGAGAGAGAAAGAGAGGGGGGAGGAAGAAGGGGACGCTGTACACCGAGAAGCGATTTTACGGTCGAAGTGCGCCTAGACTAACTTTCTCCGCGGGGGAAAAACCGTCATGGATACGCGTTACCTAACCTGACGCGCCAAGTCCGCCTTGCAAGCGCAAACTCTACCTTCTCCCCCCCCCCCTCCCCCCTTCTCTCCAGAGTTCTTCCTCACCCTTTCCCTTCACGACCATCGCCCGTCCAACTTTCCCCTCTCCCCCAATCATTTAATTACATATGCTATCACATTGTAGTCATCCTGCCGATCACGCGTACATTCCTCTTCGTTACTATTAACCTTGTTAATTTCGCTTTAATCCTATAAATCGTCTTAATGCAATAGATAAATTTTATTTGAATTTAAAAGATAAATTAAATCTCCAAAATTCGAGGATTTATCTATAATGACGTACAGAAGAAGAAATTCTTTCTTTAAAGGCGTTCTAACTAAATTCAAACGTTCAGAGATGATATAACTCATACTTTGCGTCGCAATAAGATCTGAGTCTGTACTTAAAGTTGCTCCACCAATTGGCAGACAGAGGATAAGCGGAATTTTCTTTTGAAATTTTATAATCCGGTTATGTTAAATAGATTCCAATTATAAAAAATTCCAATTATAAAAAATTTGAATTGCATCAGCATGTTTTTTACGACGTTTCGATCGTGAATTGCGATTAACATTGCTTAAAACATAAGTAAAAGTAAAAAAAATTAATGAAATCAAGTTGTATAAGTAATTTTTAGAACTAACTTTTAAATAAGGATAATTCGCACAGTTATTACTAACGCAATATATAATAATGATATCGAGTTGTTAAACTATTGATTGTTCAAAGAACAATACGTGAAAAAATGTGATTCTCGACTACGTTTTATCAAGGAAGAAACGTGTCATGTCACGCACTGGATTTTTTTTTCTTTGGCAATTAAACAAAGCTCAGAACTCGACTAAATTTAGATTCTCTTGTACACACAACTTCTTATTGAGCCATCAAAAGAGAACAATATAGCACATGGTTAATTAACGATATTAATCTTCCAAACAAAAATGCGTTGAATCATATTCAGAAATAATATCTCGCGCACGCGTATTCTCGAGTTATATTACTCACGTATTATGAAAAAATAGAAAAGATATATATTATACTCTCTAAAACTTTTAGAGTCTCACTTTTAGAATCTCACTCTGAAGAATGAAATCTCACTTTTAAAGATTAAAAATTGAGTCACCCTTTTTCAAGACTGGCTTAATTTTCACTATTTGGAATGTTGAGATTCCACTCTAAAAAATTTAGAGAATACATTAAATAAATGAATAATAATAACAAACGTTTATTGACGTGCAAGATATAAAATTATAAGTATAAGTAGAGCACTTGAAAGGGCATCAGCAATAATATTGTTCGTGAGTCTTATAGTTATTAGACCCTATTATATTTGATAGATGAAATCAAATATATATTTGTTAAACTTATAATTATGAAAAATGAAAAATGAATTCAATTATATCTTCATTGAAGTTAAACGGAGTAAAATCTATACAGAAACGAAATGCGACATTAATATACCTATTTTCTAATAGTTTGTGTACTGCGGAATCCAATTGTTTTAAGCAATATCTCTATGTATTCGTGGTATAAATAACACTCTGGTCATACCACTTGCCAAAAGTTAATGGCGATTTAGTAACAATGTCGATTTAGTCACAACTGTTTGAAAGCGGCAGCAAT